TTATTATTTTTTTGAAATCATTATGATTACAATTGTTGCCGATTATTTCCATCGCTATGATTATCATTCTTCTCATTATTACTACAATTACTAATGTTGTTCTTATGCATATTATTGTCCTATTTTCGTTATTATCGTTAATACTACTGCTTCAATCGTTGTATAGTCGTTGATTACTGCAGATACTCGTTCACTGCTCTATTCCTAAATCTCTTTATGCACTTATTCATTTGCTTATTTATATCAGTGCTGCTTATCTAACACAAATATTCGAAACATGTTCCGGAACCAATAAATTCTACTATCATCTTCATCAATGAATGCTATTGAATTTTGTACATATATTCATCCATCCCTCTAACGAAAGCAATACTCTCAAGAAAGGTCAATGAGTGAGGTTCACTTGAAATTGCTCAGTGATTTTCACCTCTTATGACGTAAACGAGTAAAGACGCAACCAAACAGAATGCGATTGTAGGAACATACGACGGTGGCAATGGAAAATTGCGAAACAAACGTAAACCATTCATACGCAAATAATATACCGTTCTTTGGCAATACGTTTCTTCAGATGTGCTTCCATACTGTGCGAGAACATTTTCTGGTTGATCCATTTCCAGAAGTACTCAATCCATGTGAAATACAGAAAGCCCCATTCCAACAAAATCGTGAACACCAACGGTATACCACAAAATGCGTACATCATTGAGAATATCTGACCAGCTTGCGTCCTCGGAAAGAAATTACCATACCCTGAAGACTTGTTGCAATGTCTAAACATCATTTGATATCTGCTCTAATAGTTGCCATCACCATTCACCGTGATATCTGTGCGTTAGTTAAAGAATTTGAAACTTTTGCGAAATTTCAGTCGCACATTCAAGAACAACAGTGGTTATTGAGTTCAACTAATGAAGGATGAAGTTAAGCTCGTCACTGGACGCAAATATGAGCACTGAATTTTCAAATGGATTGCACCAGATTTGATGTTCAGTGTTTATGTCATCATGTTGATATCAAAAAGA